GAGGTGAAGGGCAAGACCTGTCTGTGCTCCAGCACTTGCAGCCTTGTGCTGAACAATTTAGTTCTTTTTCAGTACTGGAGACACATCCCTGTTAAATCTTTGCCTGGGAAAAGTGATGATTTTTTGGAGGAGGCAGGACTCTCAGATGGCTTTGAGTGTTTCAAAACTTAGTAGAAGGTAGTCACTCTAAAAATACAGTAGCCTGATTTCTTTCTGGCTTTAAAACCTTCCCCTGACGAGCCCCCAGAAGCAGACAGCATAGCAGGTATGAAGTCTAGACGAGCGTTCCATTGGGTCTGTCTTCCCAGAATGGCTGTATCTGTCGTTTGTTCACGATGCATATGATGCGGATTTCCTTAGAGATCAGCTGGTGGGGGATATCACAGACCAGAGCCCTGCTTTTCTTTGGATTTCTTGGCCTAAAGGTTGCTGTGGACTTGGGGAAACAACGGGTGTCCCTTCTGTGCAGCAGAAGCAATTTCTGTGTCTCTGGCTGGAGAAAAGTGCTTGGATTTCTAGGTCACTTGTTCTCAACTCCCATTCTGTTCCAGGTGGGATCCTCTGCTTCCTCCCTGGTTGGCAGGAAATCAAAGGAGTGCAGCAGCGCCTGCTGGAGATGCTGGGATCTCAGAACAGCCGGTACCTCGTCTTACCAGGTGAGGTGGCAGCGCCAGGCCTTTTCTCCCCAGGGTTCAGGGAATGGACAGGCAGTTGAGTTGATGAGCCCCTTCAGCTGTTGCACGCAGAACAAGCTTGTGTGCTCTGATGCAGGTACTTGGTGTGTAATGGTGCGTGTTAAGCACGAGTAACTCCTGCTAGCAGAGGCCATCCAAACCTGTACCTGGTCAAAGAAATCGGCTTCCTGTTTGTTTGCCTCCAGCAATTCAGAATTGGGCAAGGAGGAAACTGCGAAGCTCGGCGTTGCTGTAGCTGCATGCGGAGCCTATGTAGAGAAGATCTCCAGGATCTCTTTTGTGCAGTGGAGATGTACTCTGTGGCTCAGCTTTGATGAGTGAATTTAACATTGTATATCCCAGGAGGGAAATTTATGACAAAAGCCAGTATTACTCTGCAAAGCTGTAAGATTTTGGGGTTGGTTTGTTTGGTTTAATTTATTTTTTAATGGTCCTCTCTACTCCATGTCAAATAAGGCCAGCCAGGAGCACAGTTTCAAGCAGCTCAGTTGGTAATAAATGCAGATGTTCTTCTGTGAAAACTGCGTGTTCTTGTGCTCCCCTGCTGTTCTGGGCAGGCGCCGAGAATTTCTCTGCATCACTGATGTGTAATTGGGCAAACATGTGATATAAGAGAGTTACAGGCCCTTGCTGATAACCATTTTTGACCAAGTGAAACCAAATGCCAATGAGGATGCCCCATTCCCCTGCCCCGTAGGCCTTTTGCAAAGGGGGAGCTGCAGAACTGGACTGTGGGAGGGACTGGGACTTCTGCTTGGGGCCCGGGGGTGTTGTGGTGGTGCCATTAGCCTTGCTGGGCCAGGTGGTGGTCAGAGCTCCTGCTGGTGTTGAGCCATAGGTTGAAGTAACTGAAATAAGACCTTCCCAAATGAGATGTGGAAGATTTTTCCTGGGGTCTGGCTGGCAGGAAACTGCTAATGATGACCATCAGTATTACCAGTGGTAATACTGGTATTACTCATCCCTGCCCCCAGTTTCTGGAAGCAGGAGGTCATGGTACAAAGAAAGGGTGGAGAATCTCTGCCCACCCTGGCCTCGTACTGCAAAGCAGCTCAGCAGGGCAGGACTGACTGTTTTTTATCTCCTAGTGCACTCCAACATCCCCATGATGGACCAGCAAAACATCTTCCAGCGGCCACCACCTGGTGTCAGGAAGATTGTCCTGGCCACCAACATTGCTGAGACCTCCATCACCATCAATGACATTGTCCACGTGGTGGACAGTGGCACGCACAAGGAGGAACGCTACGATTTGAAGACCAAGGTACCGATGCTTCCTCACCTCTAAGAGCATTTGGGACATACTGGAGCTAATGGATGTTTTCAGAGCAGCGTTTGAGATGCCAGTAGTGGGACGATAGAGCTGCATTGCATTTGGCCCTTGGGGCATGGGTGCCTTGTCCCTGTTTGGGGACAGTGTGTTTGACTCATTCGGAGTGTGTTTTCCTTTGCCAGGCTCCCTGCCAGGCTTCCCATCAGCTTCTGCAGAGCAGGCAAAAGTGTGGTGTCTTCAAAGAAATTTAAGGCGAATCCTCCTCCCTTCCCATCTCTCTAACATCTGTAACTTTTCCATTTGCTTTCTACCTTTTCCTGTGATTTCATAGGAATCACAGACTGGTTTGGGTTGGAAGGGACCTCACAGACCATCCAGTTCCAACCCCCCTGCCATGGCCAGGGACACCCTCCACTATACCAGGTTGCCCAAAGCCCCATCCAACCAGGCCTGGAACAATGCCAGGGATGGGGCAAGCTCCTCTGGGCAACCTGTGCCAGTGCCTCACCACCCTCAGAGGGAAGAATTTCTTTCTTATATCCAATTTAATTGGATATTAAATTAAATGTATTTTTTTTTCTTATATCTTATTTCATCATAAACTGCTCCTACCTGAAGCTATCTGGACCCAGTGCCTTAGCCCATTAGTCAGCTTTACGGGCGGGAGGGCTTTGCACTGCTCTCGGGCCGCGTTTCTGGGGGCGTCGGGCCCTGCAGAGGCTCTCGTGCCTACTTTAGTAACAGCATGAAGGCAGCTGTGCTGCTGTTGCTCTTGGAAGAAAGGAATTCTGGCTGTATGCTGCTGCCCCTTCCCCTCCCCGTGCTAGAACGGCGATTCACGCTTTGGAGCAGTTCTGGTTTAAACCCAACCCTTTTATATTTGCCTGGCTGTGACCCAGTTGGTGGCAGAACGCAGACCCTGCAGCACTGGTGCTGATGGAGGGGAGGCAGGGACCGCGCTCCGCAGGGCAGCGTGATGAGCCCCGTGCTGTGGGCACAGGGCAGGCCTCCAGCAGATGGCAACAGGGGCTCATCCATGCGCTGAGCAGCTCAGGCCTTCACCTAGAGACCGGCATTGCGAGATGCAGGAGAAGTAGGAAAGATTTCCCTTGCCCTTTTAGCAGGATGGTTGATCAGTCGTGAGGAGTCTGAGGTCTGCGGACCGGATGGAAAGCTGCGTTTAACCAGGACAGAGAGCCGTGAGAGCATTCATGCCTCATCTCTTCTCCTAGGTGTCCTGCCTGGAGACGGTGTGGGTGTCCAAGTCGAACGTGGTGCAGAGGCGAGGGCGCGCTGGCCGCTGTCAGTCGGGGTTTGCCTATCACCTCTTCCCTCGCAGCCGCCTGGACAAGATGCCGACTTACCAAGTTCCAGAGATCCTACGCACCCCACTGGAGAACCTGGTGGTTCAGGCCAAGATCCACATGCCAGAGAAAACGGTAAGCACAGTACGTGCTGGCGAGACTGCGGCCGACTGGAGCAGCAGGACATGACCTGCCTGATGCCACTTCCAGAGATGTGATTTGACCCCAAACACGAGTAGACACCGATGGCTTCAGTTCTTGCTTTCCTAAGAGCATCGCTGTCTTGGGAAGTTAAGAGCAGGAAGTGCACAGATTTTGCAGAGTATGTCTAAAATCCTCTGCAAAAACGGAGAGGGCTGAGCTCATACCCCTGTAGGCAAAGGAAGAGGGAACCGTGTTGCAGTGTGGGGGCCTGGGGCAGGGCAGTGGGCTCCCGAGGGCTCTCCCACGCTCCTGTATGGCAAACGTGGTCTTTTTTTTCCCCTTTTCCCTTCCCCCTGCTGTGTTGCAGGCAGTTGAATTTCTCTCCAAGGCTCTGGACAGCCCTGACATCAAAGCTGTGGATGAAGCAGTGATCTTGCTGCAGGAGATCGGTGAGATAACGCTGTGTCCTGGTGTGGGTGTGATGGAAACATGTTTGTTGCCTAAACACAGGAGGGTGGGAGTTGGCACAGGATCATGTGGGACAGACTGGGCAGGATTGTCCCTGGGTAGGGATGGCAGCTCATAGGGACTTCCCAAACCACATGTGTTGTGGTGCTGTTTTATTTCCCACGCTGCTTTGCTCAAGAAGTGGGGAGAATTTCCCAAGGTTTAAAAAAAAAAAGGGGGGGGGTGAAGGGACGACAGAGAAAGAAGTAAAGTTGTGATCTGAGTTCATAGCTGGGGTCGTGTTGATTGTCATCTGGCTGTTACAGCCTTTTCTTTGGCTTCTAACCTCCAGTTAGAGCTGGGAGGCTCTGGGTGCTTATTGCAGGCAGCTGTGCCATGTGCCTCTTCGGGAGGTTACACCAAATCTCCCCAGTCCAGTAGATGGGTTCTCCTGGCAGCTCCTTGAAGCCACTGGCCACCACTTTGGCCCCGCTCAGAGCTGATGGATGTGCCCTCGTGGGTGGCTCTGTTGCAGGAGTGCTGGACCAGCGAGAAGCCCTCACCACTTTGGGCAAACGCCTTGCCCAGATCTCCACAGATCCTCGGCTGGCGAAGGCCATCGTCTTGGCGTCCATCTACCGTTGCCTCCACCCTCTGCTCGTCATCGTTTCCTGCCTCACCCGGGACCCCTTCAGCAGCAGCCTGCAAAACCGTGCAGAGGTGGACAAGGTGAGGAGCCCTTCCTAGAGGATGGTAGAAAGCGGAGAGGGAAGGGGCTGCCGCTTGGCTGACATGTGTGTCTTCTCCCAGGCCAAGGCTGTTCTGAGCCGGGAGAGTGGGAGCGATCACCTGGCGTTTGTCAGAGCTGTGGCAGGCTGGGAGGAGGTGCTGAGACGCAGAGACAGTCGTGCCAGGGATAACTACCTGCAGGACTATTACCTGTACGGACCCAGCCTTCGCTTCATCAACGGTGAGTCCCGGGGGCCTGCTCCTTCCTTCTGTCCCCTGAAAAGGCTGAAGCACTGGTGAAGAACCTGGTGGAGAAACGGGGTGGACTGGGCAGGTGACTGCTGGAGTGGGCACAGGTTCTGGCTTTGGCACTCAGGAGTGCAGGTGTAGCCCTGGGGGCCAGGGAGGCTGCAGGCAGGACAGGTCTCCTGTCCTAGTGCCGAGGCTGAGCCTCCAAGGCTGCCCTGCTGGGTTATTTCATCCACAGTGGGGTGAAGGAGAGGATGAATCTCATTCCCCGGGGCTGTCTCCTCCCTGCAGGCCTTGTCAAGCAGTTCTCCGAGAACCTCTACGAAGCCTTCCTGGTGTCGTCCCCATCTGACTGTACCATGCCCTCGTCCGTGTGTAACCAGTACAGTGAAGAGGAAGAACTCGTCAAGGGAGTCCTCATGGCTGGGCTCTACCCCAACCTCATCCAGGTACCGGCTCCCCGCTCTGCTGTCACTCTCCTGGGCTTGCTGGTCCCTGCGGGTGGCACAGGGAAGCGTGGAAGTGCCAGAGACACTTAGGCTCTCTTGGGAGCATGTGTCCTAGGCAGGCTGCCTGCTTGTGCTTCTGCCATCTGCTCTAGTGCTGTCCCTGGATGCCTCCTCGTGAGGAGTGGCCCCCCCAGCCTGCGCAGGTCCATGCTTGGGTTCTTGCAGCTTGGTCTGGAAGCCGTTGAGGTGGCATCTTCCTCCTCCTGTTCGCTGCCTCTCGCGTGGCGTTTGGTGACTGCCGGGTCTGGTCACCCCTGCGTACGTACTCTGCTAGCACAGCGTTGCTGCTGGACGCAGAGGAACGTACCTGCCCCTGCACACATGTGGGAGGGACAGCTGGGTTGGCTGCTTGTGGGCAGTGCCCACTGGTCGTGCGGATGTTTGATGTGCTCCTCTCGTTCCAGGTGAGACAAGGCAAAGTGACCCGTCAAGGGAAGTTCAAACCCAACAGCTACGCGTACCGGACAAAGGCTGGCACCGTTCTGCTCCACAAGTCCACAATCAACAGGTGGGTGATCCATGTGTACGTCTGTGACCGTGGGAGGGTGGGGGCCCCACGCCGTGCACCTCGCAGCACCAGCTGACTGTGGTGAGGACCCCGGTGCCGCCTCCGACACGTGTGCCAGCACCGGAGTGCAGTGCACCCGTGCCCGTGGCTGACGAAGCTGTTGCCCCTCCCTGTGCAGGGAGGCGTCCAAGCTGTACAGCCGCTGGCTGAC